AGGGTACTTATCTTTTAGGGTATGCACATAGGAAAGAGTTGTAGTCTTATGTATTTTATTTAGGAAAGTTTTAGTGTATCTTGTGGGTAGGCACATGACTTGAATTCATCTCAAGGAAAGGTAAGGTTGAGTTAGGAAAGATTTAGTGGATGGGGAAAAGAAATAATAATCTTTTTATGGAAAAATGAGTTATCTATTGTTAAGAAGAGAAGATAACTCTTTTATAAAAAGGATCACGCTATTGTAAACGGGGATTAAATTTTATCGAATAAATAAATTTTTGGTAGACATAGAGGCCCTTTTGTGGGTGTTGTTTCTTATTTTGTGTTTATTAGCCGCCTTTGTGGGTATTGTTTCTTATCTTGTGTTTATTAGCCGGTGCTGAAATACTCGTATTCGTGCATTTGTTATTTATTCTTGTGATTTCATTCACGATTTTTATTTCTTTATCTTAAATAAGATTATTTTTGCTAGTGTTGTTTGTTGGTAAATTTTATATTGTGTTAAAAATGGTTCTTTTAGTTGGCTCTTCACGGTCGGCTACCCACTATAACTCTATTGCAGAAGCGTGGGATAACCATGGCTCCTCTTGTTTGTCTTTTTTGTAAAAATAATGATGTTACTCCCTCTAATCTTTTGTTCCTTTGTGATTTCTCGCAAGCTATATGGAGGTCCCTTGCATGGCGGTGTGGTAAGCGCTTTATTTATGGTTCTTCTATTCCTGTGATGTTGAGAAGTTAGTTATCTTTCAGATTCAAATCTAATGGATTATTAAATATTTGGTCTTCTTTGTTTTTCACAACTATTTGGTTTTTACGGGCGAAGTGTAATCGGAGAATCTTCCAATCTAGACCAATCAAGAGGGAAAAATTGCTTCGAAAAATAATTTCTCATGTTCGGGACTTAGCTAATGCTAAATCCTGGATATTTCATGTGTCAGATAAAGCAACTATTGACAATTTAAAGATTAATTGGCATCAACAGAAAGATCAGTGTAATATCCCGGTGGCATGGTCACTTCCTAGCCATAATCATTTCACGCTTAACAATTATGGGGCTTCCTTGCATACTCTAGGACGAGCAGGTGGGGGTAGCGTTATCTGTAATAAAACTCTAGTAGTTTTATTACAGCTTTTTCCAAACCTTTTGAGATCGCAATTAATAATTACGCAGACTTCTCTGCTCTTCAAGAAGGATTAATTCTAGCTTTTTCAGTTGAAGTGTTTCCTCTTCAAATTGGAATTGACTCTCATTGATCGTTAATGTTATTCATAAATGTTGTTGGTCTCCATGGAAAATATTTACAATTGTAGCAAATCGTAGACAACAGCTTTTAAATCATGGGTGGTCCATTATCCATATTTTTTGCAACGCCAACATGGTGGTTGATATTCTTGCAAAAAGCTACTGTTTGGCGTTCTCTTCATGATTTGTCACATGTGCCTTATTCTAGGGTTGTTAAACAATGAGCTATATATTTTTATTTTATAATATTAATAAAAAATGGGTAGGGGGCCTTCTCTCTTCCCCCAGACTTAAAAAAAAAAAAAAAAAAAATCTAAATCTTTTTCAAAATAGAAACTAGGCTCGGACTTCAAGTGCCAAGCTTAGATGCATTTCGGAAACAATATCAAGGCAAAAAAGGACTAAAAACGGACTTGAGAGTAAAATAAAAATAAAAGAATATTTTTAATTCAAAATATATAATATTTTTGTGTAAATTTTCCTCTATGTCATGAATAGAATACATAATATTTGTAAATTCTAATAACTTTATCATTACATTAATTAGTTGAAAATTTAATTCTTTTCTATGAGAATATTTTTATTTAAAAATATATAATATTTTTATGTAAATTTGCCTAATAGAATACTATTTAAGAATATTTATATATTCTAATAATTTTATCATGACATTAATTAGTTGAAATTTTAATTCATGTAAATTTCCCTCTATGTCATGAATAAAATACTTTTTAAGAATATTTATAAATTCTAATAAATTTATCATGGCATTAATTAGTTTAAGTAAAATAAAAATTATCATATTAATTATGATGGCCTCAAAATCTAAGACACATTTACAAACTCGGCCGAAAGAAGCGGTTTTTGTGCCACAAACTCTTATGAAAATCCGTTTTCACCCTTAATCATGAAATTTAAAACTCAAAATGATGTGGGTCATATATATAGATTTAAAAGCACAAATATTTAAAATAGATGATCCAGATACAAGATGTACTATTTTAAAAGTCCAAACCTCCTTTTCGTATGTCCATACATCTTGAGGTTTGGGATGAGCCATTAGAGGGTTTTTCAATGTCAAAACCACATTTTTGATGGATTCTTGAGATGCACCTCAAAGGTTGATACTTTATATAAACTTTTATTTTTAAATATTCTTATAATATTTTTTTGAAAGATATCTCTTATGTTAATTTGAATCTTTTGACGTCATAATAATTATACAATAGAACCTTTTAATGGCATATTTTATTATTAAATATAGGGAAATTCACACTAATAACCCCTATATCTTTTTAGAATTCAGAATCATTCTCGTATGTTGTAATTTACGCGCATAACTCTATTTTTATTTTTTCAAAATACTGTTATTTCAGACTTTCAAAATCATAATCGAAGCTATTAACAGATTCACTCGAAAATCGAAATTCCAAACCGGTTTTTCATGAGCCACCCAGCATATATATATTGAAATTCCCAACTGTATTATTTGAGTTTTGGGAGAAGGGATTGAGTTAGGTGACCAAGGAGGGTTCAATTTTTGAAATTCTGAACTCATAACTCAACTAAGCCTGCTTGGAATTTCAAAATATGAACCATTTTGATAGTAGTTTCGGTTCGGATTTTGAAAAGTTTCAACTAATGATATTTTGGAAAAAACAAAAAACCATAAACTGTGACATTAATGTAACTAGAACATATGAGGCATAAACAATTTTAATTCCAAGATAAATTGGGGGCATTAACGTAAATTTTTTTTATGTATATTTAAAGGAAAAGTTGCTTGTGAGTCGAGGGATGTGTGCGGCCTTACCCACTGAAAGTCCGTCTTAAGATAATAGTTGAGGTTTTTATTTATATATTTATTTATTTAGTTTAAGGCATCCAAATTAGTGTGTAAAAAAAAAAAATATATATATATTTTGTTTATATAATCAAGATCATCATGTCTAGATCATGAATCCATCAAAAAATTGGATCTAATAATCAGACTTTAGAGGGGGAAGCACATGTACACGTGAGTTCAGGGAGTCATAGAAACCCCGTTTTGCCTAATATCCTCTTGATGTGTAAACAAGAGAAAGAGACTCGACGTCGCATTTTCTTACACTGCCTTTTTGCTGCAAATATTTGAAATTGGGCCTTTCGATACCTGGATTTTTTTCTTATTCTCCCTGAACAGTTAATCGGCATTGCTAACCATTTCAATTTTGTTTGTTTGCCTTTTAAAGGAATTTTTATCTGGAGGACATGCAGTGCAATTCTTTAACAAAAATGGCTCGAGCGTAATAGAATGACCTTTGAAAGAGTATTTTTGGATCTGGAATGCATGAAGGATAGAATTCTACAAACCCTATGGGATTGGTTCTCTTCTACCAGTGAAGGCAAAGAAGTCTCATTGGTAGACATCTTTGTTAATTTGAAGAGTATTGCCTTCTCCTTTTCCCACAGTTGTCGCCCGCACTCTACCTGGATCCAGATGGCTCTCTCAAACTTAATTTTGATGGAAGTTTTTTTGAGAATCCAGATCCAGTTGAAATTGGAACTTAATTTTGATGGAAGCTTCTTTAGGAATCTAGGTCCAGTTGGGATTTGAGGCCTATCTTTAATAATTTGAAGAGTCTTGCCTTCTCCTTTTTTCCCATATGCCGCTCTCACTCTACCTGTAAGGCTCCTCCAAATATCTCTTTCAAACTTAATTTTAATGAGAGCTCTTTTAGGAATCTTAATCCAGTTGGAATTGGAGCTTAATTTCGATGGAGCTCCTTTAGGAATCCAGGTCCAACTGGAATTGGAGGTCTATTAAGAGATCATGAAAGGTTTGTTATTTTCTTTTATGTTGGGCTGCTGGATTGGAAATTATTGTTAGCAAATGAATTATGGGAGTCATTATGATTGAAGATGATTCTCTCAATGTTATAAAATTGTATAAGTAGGATCAAAGAGTTTTTTGGTCTCTTCATGTTTTCTGACTGAAAATCTATGATATTTATTATTCTTATGAGCTTCGGATATCCTTTTTCCATGTATATCAAGAGGCCAATGATGCAACTAATCGATTAGCCAAACATGAAATGTCCTTATCTAATTTGCATGTATCTAATGTCTTGATTCCAATCCAACTGTGTAATCTCATGTTTTTTCAGTATTCTATCGATAAAAGTTTTTAGCTTTGTTAAAAAAAAAAAAAAGAAAAAAGAAAAAAAAGTCATAGAAACCCCTCTATAGTTAAATGAGGAGAAATGATCCTATAGGACCCTCCCCCACCTATGTGGGTAGGATCTCAAATGATCACAATTAAATTTGGCATTGATTTATAGAAAAGTCAAGCCCCACATCCATGTGATAACTTTGTTAGAGAAACGTGCTAATTTTAATGGTGATCTTTTGAGGTTCTACACACATAGATAGAAGATGGTCCTACAGGATCATTACTCTTAAATGAGGTTAGAGAATTAACTATGGAAATGTGTTCGGTGAGTAAGCTCTCGCCAAAACTGGGTCCCTAATCAGAGAGTAGTGTTTTATAAATTGGATTGATAATGAGATCATTGATCCACATATTCTTGCTGGATTGTTGGATGAGTGATTCATATCCAATAAAATCAACTATCCAAAAAATATTATAAATAAATAAAATATAAATATTAATTACAAGGGACCTAAACCAATATTAAATAAGCTTTTAAAAAAACCATTTTAAAAACCGTACTGGGAGAAATTTAAGGGGTACTGGGTCACCGTCCATAACCGGTTCGGTCGAACCAATTCTTATGTGAATCGGCTGCCGCTCGAGATCGATCGAGAGAGAGAGAGAGAGAAGAAGCTGTGAGCAGCAAAGGCAGAGACGCAAGTTGATATAGCGAGAGATCAGATTGGCGTATGGAAAGATTCGAAGGGGAGTAGAGAGAGAGAGAGACAAAGGGAGTCGGTTGAGGCGATCGGTGCCACAGACGCAACGATACAGCACAATTGATAGAGAGAGAGACGCCGGTTTCGACCATGTCTACACCATACGAGAGAGCCAAAGCAGGCAGGCTCACTTTCAAAGGAGACCTGGGTCCTGCGAAAACCCTAGACAAGAAGAAGGCCAAGAAGAAGAAGAAGAAGAAGAAGAACCAGGATCTTGATCAAAAAGTTGCAGAGCTCAATGGCTCTGACGCCGAGCTTCTAGACGAAAATGGAGAGAAAAATGGCAAAGAAATGGCGGGAGAAATCTACACCATTGATGCGGCGAAGAAGATGAAATATGATCAGTTGTTTCCAGTTGAGGCGAAGAAGTTCGGATATGATGCTCCTGCAAATTATAGGTCGGTTGAAGATGCGCTCGATGATAGAGCAAAGAAGAAGGCTGATAGATACTGTAAATGAGGTCAGTTTGGCCTGTCTCTATTGATTTTCAATGAGGGTTTAGATGAAACTGGTGCTTCCGTTTTTTATTTTTGGCTAATTTTTGTTACGGGAGTTGTTTTGTATGCTTGGGTGTATATTCTATGAGTAAATGAAGCAGAAATTAAATGTTAAATGGATTAGGGTCGAGTTTATCCTTTATTTATTTATTATTATTATTATTATCTTCTTTTTCCTTTATTTGTTAACCATCCTTTAAGATCCTCGTTCTTTGGGGTTTGCGCTTCTTGTTTATTAAATTATAATTCTTTTGGCTCCCTTAGTAGCGGATGTAGAATGTATAATGTGGGGATAATAAAATAACCGAGTCAAGTAGGCTTTTATTTTTTTATAAATCTTGTTGTTAAACTCTTATTGTAGATTGCGTGGGAAGAGAAAACCAGAATTTGCTCAATTCACTGAGTTAGTTATGATTTATGAGGATGAGGCAACCATTAATTTCTTTTCGGAGGACATGCTTCCAGAGTTACCATCAAACCTACCTCCTGGCCTGTTATTGTGGTCTAATTGGCTTTTAAACCAATTAGGCTACACATTTGATAGCTCATTGTGGTTTAATTGGCTTGCGAACCAATTAGGCTATTCATGAATTCATCAATATCATGTATCAACTGTTCCTAGAGAGCCAAAACCTCCTGGAGCTATACTGACTGAAGTCAGTATATAGTACACAATAACATGTTAAATGAGGTAGGCTTGATGTAGTTTCAGGGAAAAGAATAAAGACTGGTGGCTTATTTTCTTTTCAAATTTATTTGGGAAATTTTGTTTCTAGACTGTTGGGATTTCACATGGTGTCTAATGTGTTGAAGAAGGTTGTTGTGGAGGAAAATATTTAGGTTTAGGATTTTGTGATTTTCGAATTTTTGCTGCATGTAGAGTGATTAAAGCATGCATGCATTGAAAATTAAACTGCTTATTTTTTTTTTAATTTTTCAAATTTTGTTGATTTATTGGTAGATTCTGCAGCCATGGGGACCATGAGAAAAATGTACAATTTTTTCTTTTTCTGATTAGGTCCTTTGATAAGGCTTTTAAATTGTGGTTCTAATATTTCTCTATATGGCAGATGTAGCAATCTAACTGAAAGATAATCAACTTGTTAAATAGAAAAGATCTATTTTTCCTTTCATGTAGTTCCAATTGTAACGTTTTATTTGTTTGAGGAAAGAAGTATACAACAAGCTGTATTCAAAAGTACATATAGAAATGATTTCTCAAAATAAATAAATATAGAAATGTAAACACTGGGGAATGGAAAAGGAGATGACTAGAGAAGAGAGAAGAGGATTATCAAATGGGAGGAAGAAGACGAAGAATGAGAGAGGAAAGGGGGAATGGAAAAAGGAGTGAAACCCAAATCATGCATATGAGTTACGTGTCCCCCATGGGAAGGGAGGTCTATCCTATCCTTCCTCAGCTTATCCATCATGATATATTTGCCTTTCAAAGTACACGAAAAGGTGATCTCTGACAAGAGTATAAAGAGGAGTATCTCTTCATGAGGTTTGCTAGTATCCCCCACTTAGAAGCTTGTTGAGCATATTTGATGACGTTCAATGAGTGACCCTCTACTATGTGCTTTAGAATGAATGATCAATTGAAGGCTCTTAAGTCGGTTAAGAAAGCGTTAGTTTCAACAATAATGGAATCGCAGACCAGCACATGCAGTGAGAAGCCCTAGTGGATCATCCCTGAACATTCTTTAAAACCTTCTCTAACCCCAGCTCTTACAAGCTTTCTGAACAAGGTATTATTAATATGAACTTATTAAGATTCTTGAATCTGCTTGAAGGACACTCAAGCATTGAATTTGTGGACATCTGGCATTCCTTACTAATCACCAAACTCTTCTCTCTCGAAGAATGCCTTGAGATTGTGATTTCTCCATTATTCTCTTTCTAGCCCTAGATTCCTTTTACGTGATTTCCAAAAGGATTAGGAGGAATCCATGCGCTTGAAGCGGAACAGAATGATTCCAACAGATCCCCCAAAGATTCCCTCCGGGAAGGTAGAGTAGAAATTAACATAATAAAATCATGGAAAAAATATAAATAAAAAAATTCAATTAAAATGAAATTAATAAATAAAAAAATTAAGTAGTAGGAATGACGAATACATTTCAATATCAGTAAAGAAAGAAGACATCTTTCTTTCTCCTTTTTTTTTTTCTTTTTCCTCTTCCAACTTAACAATCAAACGTGGATAAACCACTGCTTTTTCTAATAGAACATCCATTTGAATTCTGATTTGAGTTCCAATTCAATAGGTAACATTACTCACCTGAACAAAACATCCAATTGAATTCTTATTTTAGTTCCAATTCAATAGGTAACATTACTCACCTGTACTTATTAGAAAAACATGATCATTCTTCTCCTTCCTTAGACTCCATGATGTAGTTGGGAAGCAAAATTTCTCATGTAGATGGCTTCTTCTTTATGAGAAGGAGCATGTCCAGCAACAGATGGGGCAGTTTGGTGGGTAATAGGAAGTCACCACCCAATTAACCTCCATTAGGTTAGGACATTCTACATCTCCTTAGAGAAACTTATGTGAGTCGGATGGTCCATGGTCTCCTCCATGTTTAGGCATAAGAAGAACATGTCGAGGAATTGGATCTATAGATGAATGAGGTAATCACCTCGAAGAACCTTGTCTAGAGTTGGCCAAGAACCTGTAATTTAAGAGCCCTTGGGGTAGTCTAAATACTCAAGATGAATCAAATTGGAAATCTCATGGGTCCCCGTAAAGAAACATCTACAACTAAAAGACCACACAGGGAAAGTTCCATTAGTCTTGCTAGACCAAACAATTGTGTCCATAGTTACGGGGAGCTACAGCGAGAACAGCTCTGGGGTTGGGAACGGGAGCGTCGGATCAATGGCTGCCCAAAGCTTCGGCTCTCGGGGAGCGAGTTCCGGTGAGGGTAAAAGTAGCAGAATGAGATCCCATTTGAAGTTGCATCTTGTTATGAAAGGAGCGAGTTCCTATTTTGAAAGGATAGAACTCCATTCAAGGACGGATCATGTTCCATATGCAGTGGGATATTGTTCCCATATGCAATAGGACCGCTCACATCCGGAATAGGAACTAGATCCCATTTGAACTTGCATCGTGTTCCTATTTTGAAAGGATTGAACTCCATTCAAGGATAGATCGCATTCGTTGCATGATTGGTTCGTGCTCCCATCACAGAACTCCACTTGTATCAAGAACCCAACGCCATTACACATGGATTCATGTTCCCACGAAGCACTGCAAGCCGTTCCCACCTAAACGAGATCTCGTTCTGGATAAGGATGGAGTTCTATGTACACAGGGATTGCGCTTCCAAATTTATGGGTTCGAGGAACTTATTTATTGGGGAATGGGATCTACAATCTTGACGGATGTGCACCGTGGTATGTGGGGGTCGAGATCCTTTTGTTCATTGGAGCGAGTACCCTATAATATGGGAGGGAGATTCTAAAATAAAAAAATCGTGTTCCAGGTGAGATCCCAGTTATGGAACGCCGGAGTTGGATTGCAGAGCCAGAGCGCCACCTTGTTGGGGCGCTCTTGGTAACTATGATCCTGTCCACTCTAGCATTCAGGATAAGTTATCTCTTTTTCTTTCTTCGGTTGATGGTTTTCTTGGCTAGGCTATCACAGTCCTCATCCTTGAACTTTCTCCTAAAGTGAGGGCTCCACACTACCCTATCTGTCCTCCTTTAAAAGCTCATGCTTGACTAGAAATCCATGTTGGTGCCTGTTGCCTAAATATTCAGGGAACAGTTACACATTGGGGCCCTTCCAAGAGGTGGATTGCAGCCTACCTCTTACCACCATTGCATAACCTAAAACTCACTCCCATTTTGGACTTCCTTAGCATAATAAGCCCCCAAAGCCTTGATATTGGAGACAGTTGCACAATGGGCCCTCCCAAAAGATGGATTAAAGCCTAACTCTACCGCCATTGGTTACCTAAGAACTCACTCCAATTTCTAGATTGGACTTCGTTACAATAATCACTCCTGCCCCTCTTTTTCTCTTTCCTCCTCCTCCTTTCATTCCTCATTCTTACTAGTTTACCCTCGAAGATCCTCAACCATGGGAAATAGCTCTCTCTTGCAAATTACCTGTACCATTGTCTCCGAGTCTTGAGGAACCACGTAACATCGTTCACTCTCCAAATGCCCAATCCATTGCCATCTTTTCTTAGCCGAACTAAGGAGGTATTTATCCACCAAACTATTGTTTTGCCATAAAAACTTGGATCCTCTCTAATATTAGGTGGCTTCAAACGGAATTTTGTATAGGGATCAGGAAATATGTAGAAGGTATGCTGATGTGTTTGACCCTACTGCAACTGAGAAGAAATGACTTTTCCATGAGCTAGTTTCCATTTTTATCTTTTCAACCTTAGTTCACAAGAATATCTCATGTGCTTTAAAAAGCATAGGGAGAGGCAAGGTAGTCTCTGCACAGTTTTTTGGCTCATCATGGAAGCCCAACAATGAGATAATCATTTTAAGATTATCCGTTCAATTGGGTTGGTGTTGGTGCCCTGCATTATTACTTGGGATGGGTTGGTGGGTGGCCCATCAAAGGCCTCTAGAGCCACTAAAGAAGCTATTGGAGCTTGTGTTTACTAAGATAAGAAAGCTACCAATAATATGCACTCTCTAATCCTTGGAGCTTGTGTTTACTAAGATAAGAAAGCTACCTCTAATATGCACTCTCTAATCCTTCTTCTCCATTTCCTGTCAAAACCCTTCCAGCTAATCAGATAGTTGAGGAAGTCTAAAGTTTGTCTCTACGTTAGAAAGGTTAGAAAACCCGTCTGGCTGACCATGTTGGACAGGGCCTTAACTGATATACAAAAGCAACAGTTTCTATAATGGACAATGATTAAAAATGGTTGCTATAATGGATGGGAAACAAGAAATTGGAGTAATCAAAGGCATTTTTATTAAATGA